ATAAGATGTTTGCTTCACACTTTATTTTAATGGGTTCTGAATTTTATCTTTTTTCAAACAAAACAAAATCTTACATTTACTTTTCCTATTTCTCGGGCGTGATAAAAATAATTTGAATTGAGGTATTAAATGGAAACAGGATAATCCAATCATCGGAAGTTTTATATACTTAACATTAAACAATAACATTATTTTGTGAATTGATTTGTTACCAAATACTACTGGCAGTTGCCATACATCTAATTCAATTCCTATTCCAATATGTTAGGCTACGTTGCGCTATATTATGCGCTTGGAAATTTCCTTTTAAACTGTCAACTTTTGTTTTTTTGTCTAGGACTCCGCCCAGTGTTGGCAGATCGTGTCCTAATTATGAAAACAATTTTCAACTCATACCATAAAACATTTTCAAGATATTTTTTAGAAATATTGAGATAAGGAATTAATGTGAAAAAAAATCCTTAATCGAATCATCCACAGATGTTAGTCTCAACATTCAATTCAGCCCAGAAATGAGCCTTAAAAGCCTCATACTCCATTAAGACATACTTGCGATAATAAACGTTATCAACTTCAACAGCTACTAAGTAATAGTGCTACAGAATGGCACAGACGTCCCGTATAAGTTTTCTATTTCTTTTAGTCTCGACAAGCTACTTGGACTTCCCACATTCTCTTGCCAGAGGCAACTATCGCCGCCCGAAGAACATTTTTTTTTACATTTTCTTAATTTTTCTGTTTCCTAATAGTAGAACGGAAATATTATTTTAAGAATGTTAAAGAACAGGAAAACCTCATCATAAATAGCAATTTTCTTTGAAACGTTTGAAGCGGTTTTTAAGAAAATAGCGCCTAAGTGCTGTTAATTCGAAATTTGAAGCACATTAACAGAAAATTTGTGAGTTTTCGAAAAACTTCAATTGAAGTCATTTGAAGATACTTCAACTCACAAATGCAATAGTGTTTACAAATTACTGGAAATGTACATATAAATGGTGTGAGAGATGTATCAAAAAATTATATTTGTGTAATTTTTTTGGAGAAAAAACAGAATGAACTTTACGTCATATTAAAGAGTGCAATTAGCACCATCTTTTCGAAAAGTTTATGGAAAAATTTGGAGCAGTTTTTGAGAAAATGGCGTTTGTGCGTTTCTGAAAATGCGGATTTTTGAGCTAGTTTTCAGAGAAAACTGTCGAGTTACGAAACTTTATTCGACATTCTTTAAAGCACATGTACTCCAACGATAACTTCCAAAACGAATTTTTCGGATTACTCGAAAAATCTTCAATGTGGTACGTCACTGTTGTGACAAATGCCTAAATGCCCAGCATAATAAAATTTGATTCCTCTATTTACTCTAATAAAAGCCCACAATTCTCCACAAAGAAAACTATGTTTTTGATGAATAAAATATTATTATTATTATTATTATTACTGATATTTAGTGAAAAAAATAGAATAATATTTATAATACTGTACATATTACATCTTTGATGATATCTAGGCAGTAGATAAGCGTGGCTGTTTGACAAAGGAAATGTTTTTATTTCATAGACAGTGTTACTCCAATAACAAAGCCGTTACAGTAGTGATCATAAGACTGTTCGTGTGTGGCAATGCCACCATACCCACAGAGAACAGTTCCCGCTCTAACCGAAGAGAAAATTACGACTTACGGCCCAAGAGGAACCGCCGCCTAGGTTCCGGACTCGTCCCGTTGGGTCGCAGACCAACCTTCTCACCTCGTCTCTTCGCGGTCCTCGTTGGTCGCTTACCCCATCTTGCTGCCTCTGTCGAGCCTCTGACCGATCTGATTCGGTTTTGTATCTGTTGCTCTGAATATTGCCGTGCCTCACTCTGTCACCGTTGATATGGGTCTCCTTTTTATACTGCCGCCTGACTCCGAGGTGAGTCGCTTGAAATAAGTCCGCTAGACATCCTTGGAGGTTCCCGTAGCGACCCCGCACTGTCCGCAATGTAACTTTGATCTATGCGCAATCTGTCTCGTTCTGTGTGCACTCTGTCTTGCTCTGTGTACATTCTGACTCAGGTCCGTATGCTCCCTTACTCCTGTGTGCTGTTTAAATCCGTTTAGTGTGCTCTCTGCCTCGACTCCGCGTGCACTTTGTCTTCGCTCAGTGTGCTCTCTATTTCCGCTTAGTGTGCTCTCTATCTCCGCTTAGTGTGCTCTCTATCTCCGCTTAGTGTGTTCTCTGTCTCGACTCCGCGTGCACTTTGTCTCCGCTCCGTGTCTCACTGTCTCCGCTTAGTGTGCTCTCTGCCTGGACTCCGCGTGCACTTTGTCTCCGCTCCGTGTCTCTCTGTCTCCGCTTAATGTGCTCTCTACCTCGACACCGCGTGCACTTTGCCTCCGCTCCGTGTCCACCCTAACGCCGCTCCGTGTGCTCTCTATCTCCGCTTAGTGTGCTCTCTGACTCGACTCCGCGTGCACTTTGTCTCTGCTCCGTTTTGAGTATGTCCGTTCTGTCTCAGGTTCCCTCGGGCATCGTTTTAAAGCCGCCGCGGGGCCCGAGGTGCCGTAGCTGCCGTAGTTGCAGATTGGGCCGCAGGAATCCTTGCGAGTTCCCGTTGGTACGGGACAGCGCTTGCAAGCTGTGGGTTGGCGCTAATCACCACGCTCTTGCGCTGGGCCACTGCTGGCACTAGGCAGTCGCCTTCCAAACAGGTGCATTCGCCCTCCTTCCGAGTGAGCGCCGACCGTCACCAAGCCAGCGGCCACACCGCACAGTGGGCCAAAGCAATGGCGCTCAACACGTAAGCGAAAAAATGCCATAATTTGTCATTTTATTACAATTTTACTGGTACATATTCAGTTCAATGGAATTTGTCACTTTAATACATGACGTAATTAAGTAAAAATTTATGTAAAAAATCAGCACTTTTTCCTGAAGTATTGTTATACGTTCTCTATGCAATTTAGTGCTCTACCTGCTTTTACTATAAAGAAAAAAATGGATTACTAAATTAAACCATGCACGCCACAATATTTCTTACTCACAGTTTTAGTATCCCTTCACTATGCGCATATACGTTGATAATTAAAATAAGGACAATCCGGAATTAGACTCGCAGGTGAAATCCACGCGTTTAAACAAAAGCAGGAACACACTTCCTACTCATCTCCCGAAGGCAAAATTCTCTCTTTTTATATCAAAAGCCCCCGGAGCACCAGGCAGCAGCAAGACATTTCATTTTTTTTGAAACTTTTCTCTTTTGACTTTATTACCCCTTTCCATCACTCTGTAGTCTTTAACCTGCTTTCTGTGTCTTTCCTCCGGGTTCCCACTGCGCGGGGGATGTTTTGCATCTGGTTTTCGTTATTATCATTTCCACGCTCCGGCCTTCTCGGCGGCGGCGCGGGGCGAGGCGCGGGGCGAGGCGGGGGAGGGGGCGGTGGGATGTCTTAGTGCCGCGGGATAATTGAAATACCTCGCCTCTCCCATGAAATGCAAATTGGACTTGCGGAGTTGAACTCCCCAGCGAACCTCCGTCACGAACTTCCCTCGCCCCGCCCGTCGTCAATTGCGCCGTCTCCTTCCCCGCCTCTTCCCCTCTCCACACCCCGCACCCGGCCCAGACGCGCCGCTGTGTCGCGCCCGCCCGCGCTGCCGAAAAGTAAGCAAGGCAGCCTCTGTGACAACGGGGTAATAAGTTTACAATCGTAAATAATTCATTACGAGGAGAATCCTCCTCCGGGAGACAATTTGTTCATGATACATGCGACGGAGGGCGCGACGGCGCGTTGCAGGCAGTTGAGTGGCGCAGACGAGCTTGATGGCTATCGTCTTGTGTCTTTCTTTTTGGTGGAAGAGCCGCCTTTTTTCTGTATTTGCGTGAAACTCTAATGCTGAACTTTGAATGATATGGATCTGCGTTTGTTGCTCACAGCATTTGGCACCGTTCAGTGTGGAAGTTAAAAGACTACGAATTGCGACGTAAACGTAATTCGGCAGAAAAAATATTGAGATAAATATGACAAATTTGATAATGGTTTCTAATGTATTGGACAATGAATTTACGGCATTATGATTCACAACAAGTCATTAGGTGCTAGCAAGTGAGTCCGTTTAATCCAAAAATAAATATAGCAATACAAATTGCTTTTACAGTTGGGATGTCTGATTTGTACGTTTCGAAGATTGCAGTCTCTTTTGAACACTACAATAGAAGTACATTGTAATTAAAATATTTGCAACAATTCATGGATTATTAGTTAGTCAAATCTCACTACTCATGACAATTTTTACATAGCTGTGAAGTCAACTTCTCTGTTGGAACCAGTTGCTACTACAGCAATAACCACGAATCGTACGATACGTACAAATCATACGATACGTACGAATTGTAGATACGCACGATACTGTACCATACGTCCTTAAATTGTGATGCTTCAAAACCAGCAAATCCAGTAAGCTTCAGATAAAGTTTCTGGAAAGACGAATCCGAAACCATACTAACATTGCCGTACATTAACTTCGAAAATCTACAAAACACAGATTATCATGATGACGAATACGCTGCAAGGAAACAACAGTTCAAGATACCGGTTTTCTTATATACAAAAACTTAAAACAAAATTTCACAGACAGCAGTAGCCCTTCCTCTTTACGTAACTCTGACCGTAAACCCGTATCAGAGACATTAAAAGAACAAACAGGACAGCAGTTGAACGAATACTGTACGAAATGTGTGCAAACGGTGCAAGCTTTCAACATTATCCCTCTTGCCCCATTGGAAAGTAGGCCGTTCCACAGACGTGTTTACATTCGCTATGGGAATTACGAGCAACGCAAACAAGGGCCTTCGAATCGCGACCGTAACAAAATGTGCCGTCGGAGAGCTTTTATTTACCCAATGCGCGGGCTACTTTTCCCAGTGTTGGACCGACGGAGTAGCTTCGGGGACAAAGCAAACACTGCCATCGCGGGGGAGCTGAGTTGGGCTCTGCAGCTATGTAGTGGCCGAACCTCTCCCATCTAAATGCACGCCAGCGGAAGCACAGATGCTTTGCGAAAATCTCGGTAGCAATCTGCAACAATCCTCTTTATGTTATATTTTATGAGAATAAGTGTAAGTGGTGAAGACGTGTTATATTGTTTCTGCGTTATTCGGCAACCTGCTTATTTAAAACATTAGGAAATATGAATCAATTATAGCTAGGCTAAACCAGGAATGGAAAACTGCGCTCGCACGGGATACCTATACCGGCGCAGCACTCGTTCCCCTCCAAATTCAGAAAGGGGTGTACAACCGCTGGCCCAAGCAGCAACTGGCGAGAGATTTCAAAGCAAGGGTTTTACAAATTGCTTCGGAGTGGCCGAACATGACTGGATGCCTATTTTGGAGAAGCCTAGTTGACAGTCATTGCGCGGAATTTTATGAATTCTTATTTTTCTACTAAAGCAAATAAATTTTTCATTAAAATGTAACAACACATCAGTAATTTCTGAAGTTGCCAAAATTAATAATTTTGATTCAAATGTATCTTCATTTTCTAATCTTGTTTACTTAAGAGTGCAATGATAGCATTAATTTTCTACGTTCACATTAGGAGAATTAGCAACCTGTGATTCTTTTTTGTTAAAAGAGCTCTTCGTCCGTGAGTGAGGATCGTTAACTTATAGAGTATTTTATCTCACATTACTGCTTAATACAACAAATAACTGAATGATTTAAAAGGAAAGAATACAAATCAAAGAAATAATTTATCTTTCTAATCTATTCCTACCCCCTGGCAAGAATATTTATACAAGGCATAATTTTAAAAGAAAATAACCACGAAATAGTAATAATAGTAAAGAATGTATACATCATTCAAATCTGCGTTGTGTGTTAAAACAAATCTTTTCCTTATGAAGCTGTTATCCTGGCTTCGTGCCGTATCAGCAGGCGCGTGCACACTCCTTCCTGGATTTGGAGGGGAAATGAATGCGCAAACTACCTCGAGCAGGTGCTCTTTGACATCGCTTTCTAAAATCTTCGGGCCGCCGAGACTCGTCCCCAGGTAGTGTTTTCCATATCATTCACATACGTTGATACACACAACCTTTATTGTATTGTTTTAGCTGTTCCAGGTATCTGCTGATAAATATAGTTAACTTGTGATGCCACAAATATACACATATGCCACGTAGATTGAAAGAATGAATTAATGAATACGTACGAGAAGAGGTAAATAATATTTACTCCACTTTCTATGCAGATATTTATTTTGGTGATACAATGTAACAGAGGTAATTGTCGCAAAACGTTTATTATGCACCAAACCTTTACACCCCTAACCTTTTTTGTGTGCAACACAACGTCTTTCAATTTTTCTTATCTATTACAAGTTTGTTGGGAATTTCCAAAACTACGAATGTTGTACACAAGTAACTGAGAGAACATTGTATGTTTTTCGAGGTAAACTTTTTCTGAAATAATTACTATTTTCTGTCTGAATTCATATGATTTAACATATTCATTCAATATTTCGGTGATAATTTCACTCAGTGAAATGCTTTTTCTCTGAATAATACATCATGCCAATCTTTTATGTTGTGGATTTGGGATTTAGGTCGATTGCCCAACTTTGCCGGCTAGCTAACTGGGACCCCGTGCCTGAACCTAGTTTCATTATCTTTTAAATGAATGCACTAAAATACTTCATTAAACTATGAAATACGGAGTAACTCATTTCACACAACTTTCTTGTGAAGAGGAATAGATTTTTTTGGTGTACAAAAAACATGACATGCTATGCATTTCATTATATCCATCGCAAGCTACAAGACACTAGAAATGTGGAATTATTATATGGCGTCATAGAAGAAGCAATAAGTAAAGTAAAAAAACCCTCTTGTTTATATCACCTAGTTACAACGCGGTAACTCCGCGTACATACCTACGTCCGTATAATTCATTTTTGAAAACAAGTTGTTCTCAGAAGTGGAAAAGTAATATAATATTTGCGTTCGCCAAAGCCTTGATTTCTCATTGGATGAGCTAGGCGCATCGCAATACACGCGAGCGCTCCAAGTGTGGAAAGGGAAGTGGTCGAGCCATGAAATGACAAAACAATCCAGGAGAGCGCGTGCTTCGTCGTGCTAGAGCGCCACATAACATACGCATTCGTTAATTGCAACCTGCAAAAACACGCGTGTTGACATGCTGCGACTGCAAATAACGAGAGAAGCTTCACATTTCACGGGGCTGCACTAACACAAGAAAACACGAATACCACGCGCGCAAAGCAGGTAAATGTGTGCTGTCTCGTTTTCATTATGTTTGTTGCGGTGCGGTTTACATGGCATGGGTGGAAAATTCTAAACTTCTTAACGTTCTCCGCAGCGTAGGTTGATGGAATTTATAAATGGTTTGTTCGCAAACACGAAAAAGCACATTACTCAGACAAATGGTTGTTCTCCCTAAATTTCCAGGCAAAGCACCAAACGGGGGTATTTGCATTTTTAATTATTTTTAACAAATGTAGGAAATGTAATTTTCATTAGAGATAGTAAAGACTCTTCAGTAAACTATTACGACCTTACTATTACGAACTTCAATATGAGATTTCATGGACTGGAATACAAAAGCAAATATTTAATAGAACTTTCGGTGTATCTGTTTCAGAAATATTTAAATGAATACTTTCAGTGTCTGTGCCACTGAAGATAGCATAAAACATAGAAGATGATAAATTTTGCAAATAACTTTATTGAAATATGGCTTTGTGTTTTGAACCCAACTCGTTACACAGAATATGAACTGAAAAGCTTACTAGTAATATTTCATTTTGAATAAACTGAAAATGCTGCAAATCATAATGTATACTATATTTACATCGATACGACTTACAACAATACTACTAAAAATTGACGGTAGATAATCTAGAATCTATTAACAATTATTGAACAATTCTCTCTGTATTGATGAACCCGATTTTTCCCTTCCTACAAAAATGCTCTATGATGCGCCAAATATTTAGTTTGTCTCTGGCGCTGGCACAGATGATAAATGTGTCAGATTTCTCTCCTTCACAAAAAGTTTTACTCGTGATAGTTAACAGTAACAAAAAATTATAAAACATCAAAACAACATAAAGAAAAGCTTGTATAAAACAGCAGCGGCAGCGAAAAGCTTGTATGACGCGCTGAATCCAAATCCAAATCCAGAACTGCGCCACCACCTACCAGTTTTTTTAAATCGCGAGAAACACGTGCTAATACTAGATTTTGGTGCCGTATACAGAAGCCAAAAGAAGCCAGACACAAGATTTGACACACGTGTTTCTACGTATGTCACAGCGCTGAATTCGAATCCGAAGCCAGAATAGCTCCACCACCTTCCAGTTTCTGTCAGTCGCGAAAAATCACTTTGAAATTTACAGATTACACCGACAAACAGAACGAACCGTGTGACAAGTTTGTGTGTGTGTGGGTGCGCCTGCGCTGCTTCTATTGCGAGTACTCACGGTGCATCTCGAGCGAGACGCGCGCCGAGGAGGGCGAGGTGAGGGCGCTGTTGATGGCCTGGCACGTGAAGACGGAGTGCAGGTCGGAGCGGGAGAGCGGCGCCACCAGCAGCTGGCTCTTCTGGACGTTGGGGAACGGGCTGGGCATGTCCCTGGCCGGCAGCAGCCGCTCCCCGCGCCACCAGCTCACGGACGGCTTCGGGCGCCCTGCGGACACAGCACAAGTCAGTTCATGGACGTCTCACTTGGCGTGGAGGCGGTTAGGTCATCATCGCCAACGCGACAGAGTTTGGCTTAGGGGCTTCTTTTTGATTTGAGTATCTTTCACATGCAGACAATCTACAACATGGGACAGCCAGCTTTACTTCCCCCTCGAAGGATGTGTTCACTCTTAAAAATACAGAGCTTCGATCTGATTTGAACCGGGTGAACGCCATCGAAGCCGCAAAGAACCGTTGGGTTAGATACATGATTCTTCTAAACGTATTCACTGCGGCTGGCATCCCTTCTGTAAAAGATTTTAAAATTTATCTCAACTAATAACCTAAACAATCAGAGAAAATAATTTCCTAAAGAACAAAACCCAACATAGTTTATAAAATTAAATGTGGTGTACCTTGTGATATTTTTAATGTTGACGCTACCAAGAATGAATGTAATGTTGAAATTTAATGTTGAAATCTCGAATTTATGTACACCAATGTAACTGCAAAACTCAGTTAAATAAACAATTTACCTGCTGACGAGTGCAAGCGCCATTAAGCTACACGTTTCCTCTTAACATGTTCACGGTCACTATTCTCACTAGCTAAACCCGACTATATGCATCACTAGCAAAGTAAATACTCCAGAAAAGTGGAAGAAACAACTAAAGGAAAAATAGTCGTACATAAACGTAAAAAGTCGTAGTTTAAAAGATAAATTTTGTCAAACTTTCTGGTGTATGTTGGTACTACCAAGAGAATAATGAAAACTCAAATTTATGAGCGGCAATATAATAGCAAAACCAAATTAAATAAAAAGTTGTTTTCCAAGCATTGTCTCGAAACAGTTCACACTATGAAATGGGTAAACATAAATTTTCGAAATAGTTAAAGGAATTATCATAAAATAATTTTTTCTGAAATTATTCACATCCATCACAAATGGAAAATGTAATCAATTCTCAGCAAGTGAACAAGAACACGAGAAGCTGCTTATAAAACGACCACACTCTATGCTACACTACTTTTAAAACTCTTTTCTAACTCGTAATCTTTACCCATTATCATGGGCAGCTCAACTGAACACTGCTAACTATTAATCGATTGTCTAACAACGGTTCGCGAACAAACTAGTTTTTTTCACAATGTACAGATGAAGATTTACCTCCTCTTCACAACATTCGTGCACCAGTTTTAGTACGCGTTGTTCCAGACATGTGAAAAGTATTTCATTATGTACAAGACTTGAGAACTTTGAATCTAATTTCAACCATTCATTTCATTTTACCTTAGATGTTAGTGAACTGTTTATTGTAGTATACTGTTATGTACGTTTCAGATTTTCAGAAGCTTCTCTATAGAGGGTAAATGTTTTATTTTAATATTTGACATGTATGCAGCCTAGACCAATATACATTTTTGAACATTACACACAAGTAATTATAATAGTAATGTAATTGTAATGCACCGTGTAATTGCTTCTAAGATATTAATAGTATATACAATTCAAAGAACTATGGTTCCCCAGATATTCATTATAAAGACGCCACTTCCTCTCAAGAGATATGGTACTTATAGAGCACGTGTGGGAATTTAGAAACCACCCATCGGCTTTATATCAAGCAATTAACTGTATCTGTCAAACTGCAATGATACTAATCATCGGAGTAGCTACCAGAGGGCAACATAATATCAATGCATAGCGCCCGCGGAGTGCATTACTGCCCCAATGCGGCAGAGTTAATACATAGGACAGTAGGCTGCTCAATTAATTGGATTGTTGCCCTGTGGATGTGTGAATCACCTAAACACAAACATGTAACTGTCGGATCAAGAAACAAAGTACGTTCCTGTTTCAATTAAACGCGTTTTCATGACAAATAACACTCATATAATGAAAATCCTGAAAGTTCCGCAATGCTATGTAATTTCACGATAGGCAGTTAATTAGTAGCCACAGATACTTTAAATTACTTAATCATTATTCATTATGTATTTAGGTATGATATATCCAATTACTTCAGTTTTACATTATGATAAATATTTCGTATTAAAAAATTACAATTTTTACAGAGTTTAAAAAAACATTCAGCATTTATTTTCTTTAGAATAAAAACTGAAGCTGTCTAATATTAATAAAAAATTATAGCGTTAGATACAAGCAATTTGTGGAAAATGTATTGAAAAACTAGGTGGGTTTGATTAATGATTTGAAAGACAGCTTGAGAACTTGCAAATATTTTAATTAGTTTTAAAGAGAAATTTGATAAATAGTATTTTTATTGATTTTTAATTAATTTAATTGCCTATTGATAATTTCATTATTTATTTATTTATTTATTTAAATCTATTCTACAGACCACTAGAATCAGGTTTAACAGTGAAATAGTATCTTTGTGGGTTTTTCAGATTGCAGCGCTTTTTGCACGATATTCCAAGATACAAGTTAAATAATACAACTATGTTGAATGACTGAATGAAAACTTTGAAGCTTTAGCTTTAGTAACTCATTCATCACTCAGAAGCGTCAGTCAATAGATTTGCCAATAGTGATATAAATTAAAGTGGTTCTCTTTTATTGCAACAAGAGTAGTTATTGCTTTCCAAACACCGCTAATGGGTTGATATTTGTAAGGACTTGAAGTAAATTGGAAATAAACACCGTCGTAACGCGATAATATCACACAAGTCACTTTTGACGTCAAAATCGTAAATGTCTCATTAACATAGGAAGGTCATAGTTCTTACTTGAAACAAAATTGCAAAATGATTTCGCTTCTGTATCAATTTATAATGATGTTGTAAAAATGTATGTAAATACATAGTAGTTATTGATTTGTTCTGAAACAATGTATATTGCTCATTTCTCTTTTCTGATGCTAAAAATGTACAAACTCGCACATTTAACTGACACCTCACGTACTTGAGTTAAATAGTATGAGACAACACATTTCTCAATGAGTAGTCTAGTACTATTAACAAGATTTTAAGAATTAAAATGAATGTATCGATAATACAACTAAGAGATTTTAAGATTGAAGGTGACGAGATATATGTTCACTGTGTAGGTGACGAAAGGTAGGAAAAATTCGATTTACTATCATTGAATCATTTATTTCAGAAACCCATCAAACATTAAATTCCTCATTTCGAGACAACTAAGAATAAGTCTCCCAATTTTTCAGATTTCAAAATATATTTTTCATTAATGGTGTTGATAAATGAATATTTTTCATATAAGTATGCCCTAAACGACGTGTCTATCCTCCTGGAACAATAATGCGTCGCTAAAGCGTGTTTTGTGTTTCGGCGTTTGACGCGTTTCTGAAATAAAAGATTAAATTCATGTGAACAGCATTCCTCCATACACTCGGAATGAAACCAACTCCAAATTTAAAATCAGTACATACAGTCGCTTTTTTGGAAGTTTGGGAAGTTAAAAGTTGCATCGCGCATGACAAAAGACTTATACAGCTTTATGAATTCTGAAGAAACCGTGAGAAATTGCGAAACATTCCGACAATTTCGGTTTTCCTAGAGAAGAGAGGCGTGCTGCAGATTGTAAGACGCGACAGGCAAATCGGAAAATATGAAAGCTGAAACTTCACTGCCCAGAAACGAAGAGTGGTTTCGCAGAAACAAAGTTCAGAAAGTTTGAAATACTGAAAAAATAGTTCTTTTTAGCGAACTACTCTTTCTCGCAAGAGAACTCGTATTTCTTTGGTTAGAATGAACAACCAGCCTCGATACAGAGTCTAAAACAATCATGATAATATAAATATTACAGTATTTGTAAATAGCTTATATTTTGGAAGAAATATTTCATCTCAAAATAATGTTAATTTGAACAATCTGATACCGATATAATGCCTATCTACTCGTATTGCAAAAACGTTTCCAACAAATAGTTCTAAACATTTCACTAGTAAGTGAAAAAATACTGTTAATCCCAAATAGATTAGCTATCTTTCAGGTTTTTATGCCCATAGATAATAAAGGAGAAAAATTTAAAAGCAGAGCGTCAAAATAAAGTTCAAAAATTAGACCCCTTCTCCGGTAGGAATGAATGTGTTTTCGCAAAGCGAACACAGCTCCTCGTTTAATTCCGCATTTTGTTAAGAAGAAAATAAACCTGCGTTGAAAGGTTAAGAGATATTTCAACATATTTTATTACCTATATAACAAGTGTGATGGCGAGTATTTTTACAGGGTTTCTGTACATGCAGCGGTTAAAGAACAATTGAAGTCGGCACACAAACTTAAGTTAACACTAAAATATTTTCTGCTGCATAATTGTTTTTATACAATTAGAGAGTATACTGAACATAAAAAATAAAAATAAATTATTTATTCTAACAAAACAATAATATATAATGAATTAATTTACATTTGTATTGTATAATTTAAAAAAAGACAATGTACTTTATTAAAGAGCTTCCGGGTCAATGTTGGGAAGGGCTTCTGGAACTCTAGACAACTTGCGCAGTTGATTTCTTCCATACGTCACACACAGTTTCTACTGTTATTTGATTACATAAATCAGATGACACGATCATCGGTGGTTGAGACTAAGGTGGGGGAGAGGAGGTGGATAAATAATAAGGCAGACAGGAAAAAGAATCAGCCCGGGTCTGTATTGGGCCCGGTCTAGAGAAGGGACAAGTGGGAAGTGGAAGTAGCGGGTGAGGAGCAGAGTTGGGTTGAAGGGTGTGGCGAGGGGGAGATATTACAGTTGGAATAGTGAAGTTGACTGGCGAGAGTAGCACAGCGAGTCGGTTGCGAAGTGTGAAGTCGGGGCGAGTGCAATAGTGGGCGTAGTGGTACGTAAGACGGTGGTGGGGTTGGGGCGAAGGCGGCGGCAAAGGGCTTAGGCGCAATGGCAAGGTTGACAGGCGGAGGCCGTGGACCGGGATGGTTACGGACTCCCACGCAGTGGTGGAAGAGGGGAGGGGGGTTAATGCGTGGGAGTAGGAAAGGCGGCGGCGGCGGAGCGCCAAAGCTGCGAGCTGCCGGCGCGGCACTCACTCAGTGCTAAATGGGGGCGGCGGAGGTCCCGGGGCGGCCGGGGCAAAAGGCTTACGCGGAATAA